GGATGTCAAAACATCGGACATTCTCGGAGGTTTACTAACCGATCTAAAAATGTTTGCTTGAAATATAGAGATTTGTTACTTTTTGTCAAGTATGTCAATTTCTGACAGATAAGGTGCCGCTTTGGTTTTGATTTTAAGTTTGTATTATCTAGTTTTTGCTTTGATTTGTAATAATGGTCCCTTTGTTTGTGGTCAATAAATTAGCTGTTGAAGAGGAGGAACGACTATAACATCTTCGTTTGGAAAATATAGATAGGCGAGTACTGAGAGAGACAAGAGATCCATTCTCTATAGAAAATGTAAGATTTGTAGAGTTATTTCGATTAAATAAAGATATGTCCCAGTATATATTAAATGGAATTACGTCGAGAGCTAAAGAGGAAATACGGCCATTATAAACACCTTCTCAGGGGAATGGATTCGGTTTCCTAGAACTCTACAGGAAAAACAACAAATTTAGTTATGTTTTATAGAAGCAAGAAATTTTCCCGGGATAATTGGAGCAGTAGATTGTACCCATGTTGAAACCCTGCGACCAAATGAAGAGAAAAATAAGTGAATTGGTTTTTTTGGAAAAGGGCTTACATTTAATTTATTTGTGACCTTTTCCAAACTTATTTACAATAAAACATTAAAAATAAAAATCTGATACATTATTTATTGTCATTGACAACGCGTTGAACTTGGCCTTAATTCTAAATTTGTATATTTTATCCAAAGTGTAAAGATATTGGGCACTGCCCGTTAATAATAAAGATTGTGAAACTATAAACAGTCATTATATGCTAGTTATCTTCTATTATTCTAATAAAACGCTTCAGGAATAAATTATAAAAAATAAACTGTAGATTCCTTACCTAAAATAAAAGTGGGTTTTCCATTTAACATTTTTTGAAATATCCCTTTGTTGCTAAACAATACATCGCTCAACCAGTTTTTAATTAAAAATTTAAAAATCTGATAAAAATGAAACTTGTAAATCGTTTACAATCATAAATGAGGATGTAACAATATTTACCTACGATATTGGAAAAGACAAAAACAACGGCCTAACAAATCACAACGGCACAGTTTATAGCTAAAGAATCAGTTCGCTCACTCTGCGTCGGCACTTTTGATCTCAATGTTCCAGTTTATACATTGCGCAACTCGGATTTGTATCCCTGGCGCATACAGAATCAAATCATAATAGCCCAAGAGCCCACTGTAAATTTTTACCGCCATTTGATAATGAAATAAAATATACCCCAAAAGATTGTAAAAACATTGTACTTTACCGAATGGCACCTGTGACAATCCCAATCCTGAGCAAAGTGTTTCAAAAAAATATTTTATATTAAAAAAATCACATAAGGCATGATAGCGCTAATTTTGTTTGCCCTTAAAGTTTTCCAGATAATAACATATTCAAATATATCTCGATATATATCGTTAACGGGAAACATTTTCTTCCTCTTAACATAAGAATTTATTTGTATGCCTATTGTTGTGATTCATTTTTACAGGTTGTCATAGAAACGACAAAAAACTACTATGATTAGAGTTTAAAAGAATTGTCTAACAAGAGTTTATAATTATTATTGACTATCTCTGCCAAAGTTAGGTAAAAATATTAGTAATTCAGGTTTAAAAGCTAGGTTCACAATAAATTAGGATTGTAATTTTCAGAGAAAACACAATTATCGCTGCCATGTCTTATGTAATTTTTTGAATATAAAATATTTTTTTTTAACCACTTTGTCTGGATTACAGATTGGCACAGGTGCAATTTGGTAAAGTACAATGTTGTTACATGTCCTTGGAGCATATTTCATTTTGTTATCAGATGGCGGTCGTAATTTGCAGTGGGCTCTCTTACTATTACCAATTAAGCATTCCAACGACCTGTCAAACAATAGCTGTCAGTGAGAAGGTCTGGTATATCTAAGGGGGTAGAGACATAGTCTTGCATCTTGAACGGTTTTTTTATTCGAAATAATAGTCGCAAAGCCTGCCAATTTATGAAAAAATGTATCTTATTTTTATTGTGTTTGACATAAAATATTTAAATGTAATTCATTATTCATGATTTTACGTATTGTAAACAGAATACATCGTATGTCGCAACCCTTGGATATATCAAATCTTTCCACTGGCAGTTCATTTGTTTGGAATATCTAATACAATATATGACAACCGCCTATATTCAAACAGCAGTCTTCTGCGCATCCTGAATTTGTATCCCTGGAGTGGATGTTATTTTGGAACATCCAATTGGTCCGAGTGAGCGAACTGATTCTTTTAAGCTATAAACTGTGACAACGGTAAAAAATTTGGTGTCATCGGAATAAAGTACTAATGGTTATTAGCCTCCAGTTCTGTATAAGCTTTGTAACTGTTTCCCAGCGCCACTTTTAGCACTAATAATTAGAATCCAATAGTGAATGGTCGATTGGGGAATCCTACCTATGGCATTAGAATTAATATTTAATATAGTGTATTAAATAAAAATCTTTGCCACCGCCGAAATTCGAACCTGATACCCTTCGCTCTCAGAGTCAACTCTAACCACTGAGACAACCCACCCCCTTACAACACTATTATTTTAAATTTCTTCTGTTTTTACAAAGGGGTATCTGTAACGGGTGAAGGGTGAGTTGCTCCACTTAGGCCTCATTAGGCCCATAGTCCATCCTCTTAAATTGCTAGGCCCCTCTTAGTCCATCAGCCAGCCTAGAGATTTGATGTAGTTGTCAACGTCGCCGAGAAGTGTTTCTCTTACATCGGCCGGTGTTAGCCTAAACTGGCCGAACACACATTTTTTTAATAAATGAGTGCGCTCGGCAATCGTAGAGGATATGTTTGATGGTCTCATCTTTTTGTTCGCACCCTCTACAGGGAGCGGATTCTGACAGTCCTATGATATGAATATGCTTCTGTACTTGGCAATGACCAGTCAGACTACCTGTGACTACCCGCAGATTATTTCTAGTCATATTCAAGTATTCATTTACTGTGGTGTACTCAGGGTAATTTAAAAGCTCCTTGGCAACTCCGCAGCTTCTTGTTTCATCCCACCTTTCCTTGAATTTCACAAGGGAATTATCCTTAATTATGTTTGTCATTACCGATGTTGTCAGTCCAATGGAAGGACTAGGTCCAAAAAGTATTTGGTTGGCTGCCTTGTTGGCTAGTGAATTAGCAAGACGGTTACCTTTCGATGTGGCATGACCTCTGATCCAACATAAGGTGACCACGGATGTATGGGCCAAATCTTCGTGACATTCTAGTACTATCCCTGAGTAAATTCGTGGTCTATATATATGAGCATGTTCCTTCAGTGATATTGTTTCTGGTAATTTATTTTGCTGCTGTGAGAATCTCCGTGTGCTCTGTTTGAACTACACAGACACTATTTCTCGTAGCCCATTTTATGTTAAGGTTTAAGGATCTGGAATATATTTCATACAGATATTATTCATATATACATGCCACTTCCGGTTCTTCTATTTGTTCCGCGCATGGAAGTTATATCTCTGTGAGATGTTCGCTTAAAATAGTGGAAGTCTATCAAGCGCATCCTGCCAAAAGCGACGTTTTGCCTCCCCAGATCCTACAGCAGGTTCCCTTCCAACCATATCGAGTCGTGTCATTGTCATCAGAGCAAATTCCTTGATGTAAATATAAAGAGCAGTGAGACTATGGTCCGTATTTATAAACCAATCTCATGTGAGTCGGCCTCAGCTGAGTCGTCCTTGACCGAAAATCGAAGTTAGGTTATATCGCGTGAATTTAGAGATGGGTAGTAACAAATCCGTAAATGAACTTAACAGTTACAGATTTGCTACTGTCATCTCTAAATTCCAGTGCAACACTGGAACCGCCTGAAACTCTAAAAAAGTTATAACCGAACTTTGATTTTCGTTCAAGGACGACTTAGCTAAGTCCGACTCAACTGAGATCGGTTTATGAATACGCGCCTAAGAATGACTTCCATTGCTCTGGTTGGTATTATTTTCATGGCTCCTGTGTTGTTGAGACATGCTGTTCTTTGAATTTGTTCTAGTTAGCGGATAGCTTTCAATTGATAGGTTTTTAATAACCAAAGGAGTAATTGTTTTCTGATGGAAACATTAATTACTATACGAGGCAAGAGAGAGGTCCGACACGCCCAACATAGGGCGCGGCCATTTTGAACCCTGTGACACAGTTTACAGCTAAAGAATCAGATCGCTCACTCTGCGTCGGCACTTTGGATCTCAATGTTTCAGTTTATACACTGTGCAACTCGGATAATACAATATATGACAACCGCCTATAATAAAACAGCAGTCTTCTGCGTATCATGAATTTGTATCCCTGGAGTGGATGTTATTTTGGAACTTTCAACTGGTCCGAGTGAGCTAACTGATTCTTTAGCAATAAACTGTGACTTCAAAAATAATATTCACTGACACTGACAGCAGCAAGCAAAATATCAGGTGCGTTTTAATCATCCGCTTCTGCTTCCGGAATTGTCGGTTTAGTCGTTTTAACCTGTCAGATTAAAACAAGAAAACTGACAATTCCGAAGCAGAAGCGGATGATTAAAACGCACCTATTAAAAATATTGCGCCAAGATGTAGGCAACACGTAATAAGGGTTCAAGATGGAGTTTTCTATCTCCTTTTAAAAGGCACTCAGAAAGCTGCGCAGTGCGACCATTCTCCGTATAGTAAAAGAAAATCAAAGTATGTGGGCCATTAGCTCGTATTATTTTGTGACACAGACACATGTCTGATATTTTCATGTTTTTCTTTACTTGGTCTCATTTGAGTTTGGAATTATTTTATATAGTAAATTGAACCATTTATGGCTGAAGGACCTAGGTTGATGGCCATTTAGTTTTAAAATTTGTAACCAATAAAGTGCTTTTATTATTATTTGAATCATTTATATACTTATTGTTAATATGCTATGTGAATTGAATTTTGACTATGTAGTTTTGAAAAGCTCTAAAAATAATTCTTTTATTCTTTTAGGTAGGGAAAGAGATGTTAACAATAAAATCAAAAGACGGAGATGGACCGAGTTTTAACCTCCTAATGGAGCTCCTTCGGGGGGACCACTGAAAATGTGCCTTAATAGCTTTGGTGGCGGGCTCTCATATACTACAGACAGTATTTTTTGCTTAATCACTATTTAGCTTTAAGTGAAACCTTTCGTACTTAGTAAAACGTGCTGGACACACTAAAAAAATGTCGGTAGATGGAATTTTTCACGTACCTCGTAAATTGAGGTTATTTAACCGAGCCAATTTTTTTTTACATTTTTTTTGTTAATTAACGTTAAAAATTTAATAATTTTTTACTCGAACAATATTTTGAAGATAGAAAATTTTCATTCCTTACAGTTTGTTATCACCAATAAGCAAAAAAACTTGAAATTTGACGAATACATAATAATAAGTTGAATTTTTAAAATTATTAGACCTAGTTCCTTTCATGTCAAGGGGTACGTGAAAAATATTCACAAATAAACTTTTACAACCGAATGTACATAATATTTTTAAGTTTATATTTTGATATTTTTTATTATATACAATGAGGCTATTTCTCGCTATCGTTGACGTTTTTTTATATATTTATCTGCAGGGTGAATTGCAAACTCTATTACTTAAGTAAATTAATTTGTAAAGCATCCTGTATGGGCTAGTATTAGGTTAAAAAGTTAAAATGCATATGATTTCGTATCTGATACGGAATCGGGCATATTTTTTTACAGATAAGTACTTTATCCTTGGGATTCCCATAATACAACGTTTTAACGAATTATTTAAATTTTTAAACAATGGCGTAGTATTTTGATAGAATTTAAAATGACACTTAATTTATTTATAAAAAAATCGGGTATAATACGTTCAATCTATCTTCAAATTAATGTCCGTTTGATGCATTATACAATATTTAAACGTTTTTTACACTGCTAAAAAAGGTTTTTAACTCATCGATTTTTTAGTTCTTCTTCCATATTTTGTTCCTCCACCGACTATTGTTTCAATTTGTGGGTACAGAAAGTCGCACGGAGTGAGATCAGGTAAATAAGAAAGATAGGACTAAGGTTCTTGCCTTTTTGGTCAAAACTGCCGAACACTTGGCACAGTTTGGAATCGACTCGTTTCATGACCAAATTTTAAGATACATTTCGTTGACAGGAACTCCTCAATCAATGTTAAAAGTGCATCAATGATTTTCCAAGATGCTTAGGCGAATTCAGTTGCTATTCGTAAAGTTGTCTTTTATTCAAAACAATTTCTGGTAGCATAAAAAGAGTACTACAAAAAAGTAATTGAAGCCGAATGCAGCTTCTAACAATAACTACGGGTGGTACACAGATATATATGCATTCACACAACACACTCCTAGCTAAAAATGTCGGTTATGCAAGCAGTCTACTCTCCTGAAAATTATTCCTGGTTTTTTATTTTTCCTGTTACCATTAAATTTAAATTAAAAAATAATGTGGATGCATTGCTGGATTTCAGTATGTTTAGAAGCGGTTTTTAAAAAATAGTAAATAATTCTCACAAAATTATGAAAAGTAGTATGGGTAATAGGTGGTACAATTCTATTAGCTTTGGCTATGAATGTTTTTTTTATAATATAATTTTATATCCTGTTTGTACACCTAATTCCTTTCGCAATTCGCCCTTTTCAATTTCTCGACAATTCGTGCAATTCTTTTGGAATTCCTGTACTTCCTTGGCAACTCCCCACAATTCCTTAAATTCCTTTAAACATATAAATTCGACGCTTGTACTCCTAATTCTCTCTGCTGTTTTCCACTCTATTTTTTTGGTTTGAATAATTTTTTAACATTCCATCTTATTCCAAGCTACTGAAGTGATCGTAGCGGAATCAAAAAATATCTGATACTTTCATGGTGTCTTTTCTTTTACTGAAAGTTAGTAGCAACCATGGCAAATCATTGTTGATCTAAGTTATCCTAATCGGAGTGTGAGAGTCGAGTGAACCCCAGCATTTTTGTTCATTAATCACACAAATTTTTCATTTTTTTGCTTCCACTATCAGTGTTTAGCAGGTTTTGTTTTCTCTCCAGAAAAGATAGAACCAAGACAGAGTCCGTCTTTCGTATTTTTGCAATGTCAAGTATTTTTTCTTACTCCTTCTATACGTCTCCTATGCATTTTTAGCGTGTTTTGTCCATAATATTCTCAGCATTTTTCTCAACATTTCAAACGCCTCCAGTGTTCTGTGTTTTGACTTTTAAGAGTTCATGCAACTTCAAACCGAATCTATGTAAGTTTTTAGTGTTTTTAGAAGTACCTCAAGTGTTAAGACACATTTTAATTAAGGTTTAACTTATCTAGAACTAAATTGATTATATATGTCATGAGCAAATACGCCCCATTACTGTAACGTCAGTGAGCTAGACAGAAACAGACCATTCTGTCATTGATTTTGGCATCAATATTTTTATGTATATGGTTTGAACAAAATTATTTTTATTGCAGTGGTATGATTGTAGATGAATAAAATATTAAAAACAAAATCTAAATTGGCACCTAACCTCTATATTTATATTTATTGTTTTGCAGAAATGATTGCTAACGATTATTTAACTAAAATGTTATTTATTTTAGGAATACATTTCAAGATCTAAAATCACTTAATTGAGATTATAAACAGTTAAAAACGATATTTAGTCTATAAATAACTTTGTTTGACTTATTTTTACGTCATAATTAATGCAGCGCATTAGTCATTTTTATCTAAAAACTCACACTTCTTATTAGTAAATATGAAAAGAAGTTGCTTTATGGGAATCCCGTTTGCAATGTTGCTCCCATTCCAGTGTTTCAAATAAACTAGTTTTTTTATTTAAAATTCCAACTAGGTTGGATTATTATCGAAAATTGGTATTTTTCTGACTGTTGGTAGTTGAAAACTACATTTTTTCAATATTGTTGATCGATTTTGTCTGACCCTCTTATTTTTATCAATAAATTAAACAATCGTATATGTCAAGTTGTTCTACTCACTAATCACATACGCCTCTTACATATCATATTTTCTGTAATAACCAATTATTAAACTAGGATAAAATTTGAGATATTTTGTTTTAATTTACGATTACATTATAAACAACATTATACTCTCCCATTTTATATTTCAAAATTGGTACTTTTATCTTGCCGTAATCTCATATTTTCTTGTTTTTAATGACCCTGTATATCAAACATTAAAAAGCCATTCTGATTATAGCTAAGGGTTTTTCAGAATAAACAATACATTTTACAAAAATGATACAACGTTTACAGGTTTAATTAGGTCCATCCAGGGATACACACTGTTTAATGTAATGATATAAACAAATATTTACTTTTATATAAATAATTTCTAATAAACTAAAAAATTATTTTTTTATTATAATTTACTGGTCAATATTTAACAATTTTTAAAATGGTTCATAACTCTACAAAAATTATGACTTATTTGTATCCCTTCATACTTTTGAAATACATAGCTAGTACATTTTTATTTAAAAATAACGAACTTAGACAAAACCGATCAATGTAATTTTTCAAATCATTTGCTTAGAACTATTGTTGTAAATAGTTCTGGATGTTTATTATTTATTTTTAAGATGAACAGGAGTATAATTTTTGTGCCAACAGAAACGACGAAATGTGTGAATGATTTTTGTTCTCTTAAAAACATTCATTACAAGAAACGACACACATAATTTAAATAACATTGACCATTAGTAATTGGCAGTTTGAACAAAAGCTCAAAACTTTTAAATGCAGTACAGTTTCTCGTTTATGAAATATTTGTTTCCATTATGCAAGAAGTCTTTTAGTAAAAAGAAGTACATCATTTGAAAATCAAAAATTTTTGTTAAAGTAACTAAACTTGTGATAATTTTTTTATTTCCAAACTTCTGTTATGGTTTTAATAAAATTTAGTTCGATACATCATGTCTAATACCCAGTTCTCACAATTTTTGACATGATAGTGATAGTTTTCACTTATTTTCTTAATATTGTTGTCGTTTCCCAATTATTACACATGTCCATTTTGTCCTTTGTTTATTTTTATTCCGTATGAAAGACAAAATTATTCATTGTTACTTTAATAAAAAGTTATCTCGTGTCTTATCATCAATATGATTACTTTCAGTTCTCTTTATTTCTGGATAATTTCTATATTTTTTGTGCTTTCCCGTCCATTGTTCTGTTCCTTTTGTATCTCATCTCTATCTTGGCCTACCTGGAATTAATTAGTTTGTTCTTGCGTCTTCATTCTGTGACTTTCCTTGTCCATCAACTGTCATTTCTACAGCTGCAAAGATACCTTTCAGGTAGCGCTTCTGATCTTTCTGATATTTATTTAAACCCATCGGATGCGCTATTGCTAATTATTTGCTTTACATTATATCAGCATGCCAGACAGGAGGAAGTAAGTATTGTATGAGAAATGCATATTGGAAATACATTTTTTAAATTGTATCACATCACAAAAAGTATCCCGTTATTTTAATGACAATGAAGTCTGACAAATTATTGTATAAAATTTACTATTTCTAATGGTTAAAATTTTACAAATATTTAAATTATTTGTAACTAAAACATGACAAAAAAATGTTTGTGATTGTCTGGTTTTTTTTTTAATTTGATGTGTAACTGATTTTGATTGTTTTTTTTTTTTTAATAATTTCTTTTTTTTTATTGAAAGTGTACACACATTCACTGTTTTAAATTACGTGTTTTTACTCTATTTATTTTCATAATTACAAAATTTTGTATGAAAAATGAACAGTAATGGTATGAAATACTACCTGGTTGTGTTCCAAAAACTTTTTTTACAATATAATGAATTAAATTGTTAACAAATGCTTTATACTGAATTGTTCACTTTATTTAAACCCGTAAAACTGTTCTCGAAACACACAATAAGCCAATAGGTTGCAGTGTTATCGGAGACCACGTCAGAGAAGCTCAGGAATAAAGCTGTAAATTTGATACATTCAAATAAAATTTCAATCAATTTTTGGCACTATCCTTACTATCCAAGATTAACATTTGACATGTAAACTTAAAGTCACATTTATGGTGGACCGCAAAATTAACCAGACATTTAATTTTTGTCCCGCAAATTTCTTTTTTCTTGTTTTTAAACTTTTAAAACAAAGATGATTTTTGATAATATGAAATCAAATTTTAGTTTATTTTGTAAACATTTTTTATAATTAAATATCAATTGAAATTATTTTTATTTAAATTTTTGTGTAAAATTTCGTATCCAGTTAATTTTGCGATTTAGTATATTAACATTAGTGAAATTATTATTTAGTTTCAGATTTTTACATCTTGACAGTTAATTTCAAGTTGTTTCAAAAATGTTCAAGTTATATTTTTAGATAAATTTGAAAAATCACAATCACGCAAAAAGAAACTTTAATATGCTACTCAAGTATAGGTAGGTATCATCAGTATTTTTACTTAGAAAATATTTTATACAATTTTATCAACCTTTTGAAACTAAGCTTTTGGAACACAATCTATCAAATTCAAGCTATAAAACTATTCCGTAACTGATAGGTGAAACAATGAACGAGTTTACTTTTATATTTCCTACATAAGATGTTGATCTACAAAAACAAACAACTTAAGACTTAAGGGGAGGCCTTCACAAGTTGCATGTAATGCAACTTTAGCCCTAAATACTTTTGTACTCACTTTTTACTATCGATTATATACAAAACATGTATTGAAGAAATATAATATACAAATTATTTGTGCTTAATTACGTAAAACCCTTTCCATTTAGTTACCCACTATAGAAATGTTTATTTAAAATCAACAACCAAATAACAACACACAATCGAGGACGCAGAAAAATATACATGGCTCAACACCATATTCTTAAGGTAAACGCGCATTTGTATGTATCGGACGGACGCATCGAACATACGGTTTTAAGGTAAGATAAGCGCGCATCGGACATACGAATTTGGAGAATAGAATATTTTCCATTATTTTGAAGGAGTCGACGCACATTGATTCGTATCGAACGTATCGCATTAACGGAAATCAGTTAAGGATTCTTGAAAGAACTAAATCCGTTCATGGCGATGCCTGCGGATGATGTCATTCGGAAATTCGAATAAGTATGCGATGGGTCGCAGCAATAATCGTTTCGGATTAATTGTATTCATTATAATTAACTTATATTAAATATTTTTATATTTAATTTGTTGAATTGAATAAAGCCCAATTTCTAACGCACTTTATTTTGGGACTTTCCTCCTAATTTATTCCCGAAAGACACTATTTTTCTTCTCTATAGACAGACGAACGTAATATATTGTAACGATAGTTTTATTTATTTATTTATAGTTTATTTATTTAAAACACTATTTACAATTTATTTATGGCGTACTAATTAATTTATATAATACTTAGGCACTATTATAACTCACAATTCTAATTTATTTAATACAATTTCTTTTCGACCGATGCGTACAATTGCGCACTTACTTTTAGAGAATATAATATTTTCCATTACTTTAAAGAAAGGAGTCGACGAACTTTGATTCGTATCGAACGTATCGCATGGACGCAAATCCGTTCAAGGATTCCTGAACAAGAACTAAATCCGTCAAGGCGATGCATTCGAATAAGTACGCGATGGTTTGTGTAACCTACCTCAACCAGATAATTTATTAATTCCGTTGTATTAAAGAAAAGTTGCATTCTTATTAAATTCAAATTCCTACAATTACGAAAAATCTTTTAGATAATTAAATCTTATCTATGATGCTTAATAAATAAAAGCAATATTTCTGTTCGCGGGGTCTCTAATATTACAGAAAAGATAAAAAGTTATCCAATGAGAATTGGATCC